TTTTTTTTCAAAGTAGCTTTACAATTTACAGTATTTATAATACTGTATCATCCATAACATGAAAATAATTAGCGCTAATTGTATTAGCCAGAATTTTAATATCAGTTCCCTATCCCTAGCATTTCATCATTATGCAGTTGAATGAATTTTTCTGTTTGTCTGTAGCACTTGTGCTGCCCAAGGCAGAGAAGCTTCTGAAGGTGAGTATCCAGCCGTACATCAGCTCAATCCTGGATGCGCTGATGGAGCCCACCAGCAGAGGCTTCTTTGAGGTGCGAGACTTGTTCTTCAGAGAGCTGGTAGACATGAGCAAGAACCTCCTCAATGATGGCAACAAGGAAAAACTCGGGGAGGTAACCCAAAGTCCCCTCCATGACATCTGGTTACACTTTTTTTTGCTAATAGGTTGCTTGAACCATGACTTAAGTAGACTTAAAACTCTTTTACCTTGGGTGCCCAGCACATGGAGAAGATCTCCATGCTAGCCTTCCATCCTGTGAAGATGCAGAACTGCTATGAGAAGGTGGAGACCTTGAGTTTAGAGGGACTTCAGCAGCGCTTTGACGTTTCCAGCCCCTCTGTGTTTGTCCAGAGAGCCCAAATCCTAATGCGAGAGGTCAGTCATCTTTGAACCAAGAACAGCAGCAAACTCAGAAGAATTACTTTTATAAACAAACAGCAACTAATACTGGCAAGTTCTCTAAAACAGTGGTACTAACAACAAAGTACAAATATCTGCCACACGTCCGAGTTATTTTTATGTTTATGCAATCAAGATGGTTCGTTAAACTGCAGCTGGTTTGAAGAAGTATACAAATGTCTCTGTTAGGGGGGTTTTGTAATTTTGTGGGAAAAACGAACAGTTTGTCTTTGTCTTCGTGCCTCTTAGGGTTTGGTTTGTGGTTTCGTTGTGTATGAAACTGTATGCCCTGAGGAGTTATGTGCTGTTGTGGTAGAGATGTTAAACCTCATTTTGGTCACTAAATTACAGTGAACTGCAGTGAAATTACAGTGAACTAGTCTTTAAAACTGCAGTTTTAAAGACTAGCGTATGACTGCTGATTGTGAGCACAAGAAAAAAAAAGTTTTTTTTTTTTTTTTTTTTATAAAGTGCAAATCATGTTTTAGTACTTTATATAAAAGTCATTTTTACAACAGAGACAGATTTTCAAAGCACAGGGAGTGGAGAAACAAGACTGAACTTGAGTTGTGAGTTATCAAAATAATGTTGCTTCAACTTATTCCCACACTTTTTGTGTGGTTAAATGCCCCCTTGTGGCAAAATTTATTAAAATATGTGGAAAAATGTATCTAAGACATGAATCCTGTCACACTTTGACTAGAGGCTGGAATACACTACATGCATTTTTAAATATTTTAAAACATGGCATCATACACTACTCGACTAAGGATCACACACTACTATAATTTCAAATTGTTCCACAAACACAAAAAACTTATGCGAAGACATGTGCCTTGTTGTTAGAAGACGCACACAAAAAACACCCAAATAAAAAAAATATGTGCTCTAAAATTGGCTCAAAATATCGAACATATTGTCTGAATGTATGGAATCATGATCTGAAGCAAAAAAAAACATAGTATGTGCCCATCGTACACTACGCAATTTTCTGTGAAATCTGTCAACCCCAACTGGCCAAAATCCCCAGACTGGCAATGACTTTTGGAAACTAGTGTCGACTCCTCCAGACTGCAAATTGAGGGCAGAAAATCTGGGCAAAAGTTGTGTAGTGTATTGTAGCCTTAAGGATATATCCATCTGTTTCGTGCAGCAAATGGATGATGCAGTATACACATTTGAGCAGCTCCTGCACCAGAGTTTGGAGGGCCAGGAAAGGGAGGATCTTTGTAAAACTACCCAGCGCTGCCAGGATCGTGTCATCAAGGTGAAACAGAACGTCCATCTGCCGTATCATATCTTTTTGAACCAGTAGGTTCTTGTTTAAGATTTATAAATTTGTACTGTTTTTCAAAATTTGATGTCCAGAAATTTGACTACGACAGCAGCACAGTTCGTAAGAAGTTCTTCAGAGAGGCTCTTCTGCAGATATTCATCCCCTACATGCTGAAACAGCTCTCCCCATCATGCTCTGCTGTACGTCTTCACTGTGGTAGAGCAACAATGCATTATCCAATCTAAAACTTCTCAGAAAGTATTTAAAGTTATTATGTTGTTTATGCAGGAACTCCCCCATTTCCAGGAGCTCATTTTTGAGGATTTCTCTCGTTTCATTCTGGTGGAAAACATATTTGAGGAAGTGGTGCTGCACACAGTCATGAAAGACATAATGATGGGTAAGACTTCTTTGAAAGAATGAGACTTTTACAAACCAAGAAGATTGAAACATTTAAAGTTGTGATGTTTTGGAACCAAATGTTTTCTTCTGTAATGTATTGTGATGTACATCCAAGTAAAACAGATTATTGGAAAAGAAAATGCCATCATTCTATGCTCTTATCAACATTCCTTCTATGTTCCAGCTGTGAAGGAAGCAGCCGTCCAGAGGAGACACAACCTGTACCGAGACAGCATTGTTTTGACCAACAGCGACCCTAACCTTCACCTGTTAGGGGAGAATCCTCCCATTGACTGGGCTGAGGAATATGGAGGAGGTCAAGAGGAGGTGGATGGAGAGAATGCAGGAGATCCAGAGGCTCAAAAAAGGCGCAGGATGAAGCAGGTGGTCTCCATGATCCAGATAGATGGCAATGCCTCTGTGCTGCCCAATGAATCATGCCTGGAAGTGCCCACTGTAGACAATATTCCAGAGGAGGAGGCGGAGGTACGTTCAGAGAAGCAAGTTCCCAATGGAACCAAAAGGGATGTGAACAAAAATGCGATTGATGAGATACCACCAACAAACGGAAGTGCAATAAAAGAGGAAGAGAGCACAACAGAAAAGTCAGTGCAGGACACAGAGAGCAAGTCTGCCATAGACTGTGCCATACAGGAAATCGAGAATGCAGTTCAGGAAGGGGAACATGAACTCAGGACACAGAAAACTGCAGAGTCATCATCCTTGAAAGAGGAAACTGCAGCCGAGGAGGTAAAACCCACCTCAAATTGTGAAGAAGGGGCAGACACAAACAAAGATTCACCTTCAAGCACAGAGGAGGAGCGTTTGGATTCGCCAGGAAGGGAAGGGTCCCCATCAGACCAACAGGAAAATCACATTACGGCGAGCACTCATGACTCATCACAGCACGACGACAGCGGATTCCAGTCGACCACTAATGAAGCAGCAGAAGAGGAACATCAGGCGGGAAAGGAGGAATGTAATGACTCTGAAACTGGAGAGGATATTGGGAAGGGAGAAAGTGCACATATGGATCACCAGTGAAATATCTCATGAACTCGGTTCATTTATTATGTGTTTATGCCTGTAAACAGTGAGCAAATGCATTACCCACTGCTCTAAAACAACTTTTGACTGAGTGACAGGAGCTTTTTTGTGTTTTTTTGCCCGTAAAACACTTTTCTCACTACTCTGACTGTATAGACATTGTTGTCTATATCTTTTTGCATGCACACTCTCACATTTTTTTGCACTTAAAAAAACTAAACAAAAACAAAGTCACTCTTAGTTAGAGCTGTGCTCGAATACAAACATCCTAGGTCCAAATGTCTTCACCTTTCTGTTCACAAGTACAATATTCACCTAGTTATTCATTTATTAGTTCCTAGGTTTAGTGTCATTTCATTTGTGTGTGGTGCAGAGTAACAGACTGCAGAAAAATTGTTTTTGCAGTGGAAATCAGCCACCTTATGCCTCATGATGATAGTATATGGTGCCTTATTGAAATCTGCATCTCGTATCTGATACAGTGCTGCCTTGACAGAATTCACACTAAAGACACTGAATTTTATTTTTCATCAACATTATAATAGAGGTTTGTTTTATGCTTTCTTAATCGGTGTGATGGTTTGTAATCAAAGCATCCTTTTGACATAAAGAAGTCTGTTGAGTTGCCTGCACAGGAGACATTTAGCTTGTGAACTAATACTTGCTGGAACGCCAAACAAGCTGCATCTTGTGTAAGCTTATTTAAGACTGGAGTGTTGCTTGCATTGCTGCTGCTGGTGGAGTAAGCATTATTTTCTTAGACACTGCTGTCATTTGTTGTGATTACAGAAGTGACTGCATAGATTTTTCATTAACCAGGCCA